AAAGCAAGAGTAAAGGCTTTCAAGCTTCTTTTCCCAGCTGCACATAAGGAGGAGGAGAGGGATGAACACACAAGGCCAGGAGGTGGCAAGTGTCTTTAGTTAAAGCTATGTTTTAGGGTTGCACCTGAATGACTGCCCCAAGGTCACCAAGTGTGCTTCATGGCTGAATGGAGATCTAAACCGGAAACTTCCTAATACTAGTGTGACACACTAAACCACACATTTTAAAAAACGAACTTCTCGTTACCATTTAGGCATTTAAATATCTTTAAGCATGCAACCCTACTGAATGTGCCCTACTGCTCTAAAGTTCTTATGTTCTGCATGACTGAACCCATCAGGACAGAAGGAGCAATGGAGGCAATTTCACCTCAGCATCCTCCATCATTGGCAATTTACACTAGAGAGACTTTTCACCCCATCTAGTTAGTACATTTTGGAAGAGGCTCAGCATCTCTCATATCCTGACCTCTTGGGTCTTCTCCCTTCCCAATGGGCTGCTCCCTTTCCTCCTCCTCTGAGGTTGTTATTCTAACCTCGAAGGGCAGCCAGTGTACTGTACTGGCTGCAAGGGAGTAGAGGAGGGAAGCTGCTCTCTGACTGCCCTTCCAAGCCAGACAGCTGCTCTCTGACCTTGAAAGGGTTTTTCCAAGTAATCCTATAGTCCCTGGGACACTCTCCCAGGAACTACAGGATTATTCTCGAAATGTTCATATGATATAGCCCTAACAATTACACACCACAAACAACCACACAGTGAATCAAACCATTGATGCTTTTAGCCCAGTACTGCCTACTGGAAGAGTTCTTCAATGTCTCAGGTTCGGGCTCTTACAATCCAGCCAGTTGGACATTCTAATGGAGAGATGTTAGGGACTAGGATCTAGGACCTTCTGCAGGCAAAGCATATGGCTTACCGACTATAGCCCTCCTATGAATTTATAATCTGATTTCATTGTTTTTGTTTTCTGGTTTCATAAATGTCTTCAATAAAATTCTACTAAATTCCAGCTTTACACAACTGATAATTATTTAGTCTTTTGATCATGCTTACTGTTAACTGATTACTAGATTGATTAAACAAACTTCAGATGTTTGAGTGCAGCTATTATTTCCCCTTTGAAGGCGAAATAGAGACCAAGTTTTGATCCAGTTGAACCTCACTAAATTAGGAACTCCACCATACAATACTTCTAATTCCTTCCCTCCCTGACCCAATGCAGAAGAAGGAAAGGGGAAAAATAGGGACTGAGTTCTATCTAATTTTGGTTCAGAGAGTATTAAAAAATAACTCCACTCCCACAGTGTTCAAAGCATCAGTACAGTGTAACTGTTACAATGTTTGGTCTCAGCAGACCCAGGTTCTAGTCCTCACTGAGCTGTGAAGCTCGCTTGCTCTCACTGGCTCTAACTTACTTCACAGAGGGATAAAATGGAGAACCACATGAACTGCCTTGTACTCTTTTGCAAGAGGGAAAAAGATGTGATACACAAGTAATAAATAAGATTACCAATAAAGATCTTGTTTAAATCTAACTCCCAGAACACTAAGAGCAGATATGCAATTAGCCATACACATGAACCAGGTAACTGCTATAGGCATGTAGCTAACTGGCTCCATTGCCCTACCAACTAAGAATAATACTGATGAAGGAAGGAAAACACTGAACACTGAGTTAAACACTAACAGTTTCAAGGTACTACAGGAGCCTGTCTTAGTTTTGTGGCAAAAGGCCAGTGTGGTATAGTGGTTAAAAGTTTAGGACTGAGATTCAGGCAATCTGGATTCTAGTCCCCACTCAGCCATGGAGCTCATTAAGTGACATTGGGCCAGTCATAGCCTAACCAACTCTCAGATTCTCACAGGGTTGTTGTGAGGATGAGATTGTGAAGAGAAAGAGAATTATGTAAGCTACTATGAATTCCTTGGAAGGAAAAAAGGTAGGCTATAAATGTTTATAAATTATTAATATAGCTATTGTTTCTGGAAGTTAATTGGACAGTTACATAAAGGTGGATAGACTAGCTAAATATATAATCTGAATGGCTGGTTGAGAGGATGAATGGGGACAAAAATACAAAAACAAGGGTAAAAATAATGAATAGATAAAACAACATCCATGGAACAGTTATATATAGCTTTCAATGAAGTGTCCATGAAAGCTTATACCAAAATAAATGTTAGTCTTTACGGTGTGACAAGACACTGTACTTTTTTCTGCAAGATTACCATATTTATCCTTCCATAAAGAACATAAAAGCATCCTGCACTTATATTATCACTTAATACTTTTAATTCTAAAGCAATTTTATGAGATAGTTATCTGGCAACCAAATTCAGGTGACTTCTACTTCATATTAAGGTGTGAAAAGCACAGTTGCTTTAAACTAGATATAGAAAAGTCCACTACAAGAGATCTAGTGCTAAAAGAGGGAGGAAAAAAAGCACAGCTCCAACGGATGGAAAGTAGTATGCTGAGAGTTTTTAAAACTATTTTGCCATGTTTAGAATTAGTCTCTAGCCGTCATCTGCATGCATAAATATTCCACCCATCTGGCTCTTGAAGGAAAGCAGTCCCAGAGGAAAATTACCTGGCTACACTTTATCCTCATATATGCTTTATTTTTTCCAGATTGTGCTTCCAAATGTTCATTTCTACTATTTACAGATTTATTAAAGAAAAAAGGAAAAAAAATTGACCATTCCTCCTAATGGCTTCTGTTATTTCTTTTAGGGCTCCGGATAACCAAGACTCCAGAGAACTGAACTGAACTGATCTTAACTTCACTCAAGCTTGACAACGCCTTTAGTAGTGCAGGCACTGCAGCACCGTCTGCAGACTCAGGAAAAATTTGCTAGGTCACATTTGAGTTATTACTGTTATAATTAAAATACCCTTTGCAAATTATTTTAAATCTGTTTAACTGTTAATTAAATGTGTCATAGAAATGTCTCTCTAATAAAGTCTGAGACATGATGACACAAACTGCTGACCATGTTTCAAAATAGATACCCAATTTTACAAATCAAAACCCCATAAATATTAATATTTACAGTGGTTCTCAATAAGGCACAGAGATGCAGTTCCATCACACAAACTGCAAATTGATCCAACATGAGCTAGCCATAATTTCCCTCACCAAAATAACATTCCACCTTGCAGCTTTCTATCCCTAAACCTGAACCCTAACCCAACACCAGCATTTCCAGAACCTATTCCATTATGCAAAATTACATAAATCTCTCTATTTGAGAATCAGACCTGTGCATATTCTATAATGCAGAAGTACAAGAATGCATAGTAGGTCCAAAACTCAACAGCCAAGCAATCCCTGCTTACACTTGGGAAAAAAGCCACAATCTCTCATTTTTATGGCTAAGAGAGTATTGTCAATGTGTGGACAATGTTCAATAAAATCTGTGGATGAGAAGGCTGAGCAGATTTTTCAATTATTATGGGCAGGGATTTTGCACCCTGCACAACGTTTGGGCCCTCCCCACATATGCAAATCTCCTTGACTTTCATAATATATACATGCTGCAGAATTCATCTTATTTTGGTGCAAAATCTAGATTTTTAAAGTACAAGAGACATAGCTGCAACAACATGCACCATGAAAAGCTACAGAATAACTGCATTTGAAAAGGGAACTTTAAAAATGTACTAAATTACCTTCTTTATGTTCATGGGAAGAGGCACAATCCTCCAGAAACAATGTCTCATATCCACTTCAACTTTTCAAAATATCAGAAAACGCAGCATTTACATAACCCCCTTTTGTTTCTGTTCATTTCCCTTTCACACACCGTTTTTCTAAATGAGATAGCAATAGTTGTGTATGCAGGAAGCCAAAAACTAAGGCAGAGTGCTTTATAAATATTACACATGTGAATATATGTACCTAGTGAAGTGGATTATGTAGCAGGGTGGGGTACTTTATAAATAGATTCATTTATTATTGGTTCTCTGTGAATGATACCGGAATGCTTTGTGGCAGGAGGAGAATGTGTGCTTATAACCATTATTAATAAATCCTGGCAGACAAGGAGATTTTTCTCCCACCATCCCTCCAGGGAAAGAAACATACATCATGCTACGTCACCTTCACCACCAGATTCAGTAGATATAAACAATGAACTCAGAGAAATCAAATTTCCTACACAGGCATCCAAACTGACTTTTTCCACATATAAGCATGCATTTTTCACATACAGTTTAAAAATCTCTGATTGAGCTTAAATCACTAACTACACTTACCTGGAAAATAAGTTAGATACAATTTATAACTCTCAGTATAACAGACTACCACATTAATGAGCATTTATAAAGTACGCTTTGGAAATTTTGCTCTGACCATTTAAAAAAGAGAGTGTGTACTATAACCACCAGCTCTTGAAGGACAGCACTAACCCTATACAAACAATGTACTTTTAAGGCCTGCTAGGCACTTTCGTCCCTCCAGGTGCTAGTGAAAAGGAAAAAGAAACTAAGCAGCAGCAGCAAGGGGAGGCATTTTCTTCGACAGTTACCTTAATCCACCCTTCCTTCTGCTTTACGAATTTCAGATTGTAAGCGCCTTGGGGCAGAGACATGGGCTCCTTAAAAAGCCGCGAACGTGATTTATGAACAGCAATAATAATAGTAATTAATAATAATAATAATATAGCAACACTGTAATTTCAAAGGGAACACCAGCCCCTCCGAGAAAAGGAACGCGGGAAGCCACAAGAACAACAAAGCCAATGCAACCTTCATGGCTTTGCCATATGCCAGTTCCGGCAATCCCCCTCCTCTTAAAATACCAGCTGTTGGAGGGGCATAGAGAATCCCTTTGTGGATAATTACAACAACACCCCCTCAACACTTACACACACGGGCGGGCCAGTCGCCTCGCCTCGCCTCCTCCCCGCTTGCTTCCAGGCCCCGAGGTGCAGGCGGCGGCGGCGGCGGCCTCCTCTCAGGCCCCTCACTCCATCCCGCCCTCCACCATCTACTTACCCCGCTGCCCGGGCGGCCAGAAGGGGAGAGGGCTGCAACTCCGCGCTCTGGAGCGGGATAGCGATGTCTGGGCCAGGCCGGGCCAGGCCGGGCTGGGCCAAGCCGAGCCGGCGAAGGCGGTCTCGCCTCAGTTCATTCACACGGGGGAGACGACGGCGACGGCTGCTGTTGTTCCTCCTCGCTGGCCGAAGGGGGGAACCGACTGCTCATCTCTCCCGCCTGCCGCCTTCTCCCCTTCCCCGGCAGCCACCCACCCGCCTCACTCGCTCCGTCTTCCCCTCGCCTCACGCCGCCGCTCGCAGCCACAGGGCGACCCGCTCCCCTTTCTTTCCCTGCCCCCTCCTTCCCCCCAGCTCCGCTCAATTCCCTCAGGCGGGCGGGCGGGCGGGCGGACCGACAGGCAATCAAGCGAGGGTTGCGCACGCGCAGAAGAACCGCCCTGCGCGCGAGAGACAGCTGCTGGGGAGGGGGAAGGGACGACGTAAGGCAGAGAGAGCCAGCGCCGCGAGCCTGCGTTCGTTTACGCCGCGTGCGTGCGAGCGAGCGAGCGGCAGGATGACTGTTCAAGACCGACGCAGGGAGGGGAAGGAGCGAGGAGACGTGCGCGCGCACGCGCCAGCCAGACTCCCACCCTTCCTAATGCCTCAAGCTTTGCCATCCCGATTAACCAATGAAAGCGAGCCTCCCCCCCCCCGCTTCCCTCCGCCTTCCCGTTGTTGGTGCTCTGTGGTAGCAACTGCGACAACGGGGGGTCGCTTTTTATTATTAGTGCCGCCGACTCTGGAGCGGCGCGCGAGGAAAGCCCGGATGTTGAGGCTAGAGGAGGCGGAGAACCGCGAAAGGAAGAACGAGGAGGGGTGTTTGCTGAGGCTTGGCTGTTATTACATCATCCCCGGGCCCTACTGCGCCTGCGCACGCGCCTTTTCGGGGCTGAGGAGAAAATGGAGGGGGGCGAATGAGTGACTGAACCAGCGCCTGAGGGCAGCGGAGCCCGAGGCTCAGCTCTCCTCTTCCATCGCTTTCCATTCAGATTTGTTTAATTGGTCTTGGTGAAACAAGTGGGGACAAATAATAACCGTGTTGTTCTTGTTGTCTCCCCATTACAGCTGTGCGTATAAATAGATGTAAACGTTCAAACACTTTCCACAGTTAACCCCCACTGCCTCATCGCTTGCCTCGTAATTTTTATCCCCTCACGCACACATTTTCTCCATATTTCTTTTTTATAACATCTCATATCCCTCAAGTTTTCTTTTTTCGGTTGAGTGTGTGCCGAGTCAACGCCAGAAAAAGCTCAGGAAAAAGGCGAGAGGACAGATAATCCCGCCTACCCATTCTCTGCAGGCTCCACAGAGGAAAAATGGGGGTGTGAGATTTAAAAGCCAGGTTATCAGAACAAGGAGCAAGATATATTAAGAAATAAAGACAAAAGGCTGCGCCTAGAGGAAACAAAGGCTTGAAAAGGGTGGCAGTGGATAGGCTGCTTGAAAAGCAGAGAAAATGTTGATATATGCATGGAAATACTACAGCTTACCTCACTGATCTTTTGGTCTTACTATAAAGCCAGTGACCTGGGAACCCAATATGTGGGGAAACATAGGACTTGCTTTCTTTTTATATGAAGGATTTATGCCCCATGTTTCCTAAAAGCAGTTCAAAGTGGCTAAGATCAAGAAAATAAATATATTTTAAAAAAAACAAGGAAAAACTCTAGACAAGAAGCTAAAACATCAAAACACAAAACAATAAATACCATGAGCAATGAGCAATTCAGATTATTATTATACAACCATGCCAACTAGCTAATAAAGCCTGGTTGTAATAGGCCAAAGACCTTTCTTTAAAAAAAAAAAGTGGTCTGCCAAAATATCATAAATGAAAGGGGTAGATCAAACCTCACTCAAGAAGGAGTTCCAGAGCCTCATCAGGACTTTGTAAAATTCATACAGGTTTATATTTGATTACCAACTTTCCCAACAAAAAGTGTCTAAAACTGGATAATAATGGTCACAACTCACTTAGTTCTAATTGCTAGAATCCATTGCTGCTCTAAAGCTGCTTCCCCCATTTTCCCCCCCAGACAGACCAATATTCACACAGAGGGTTTTTTTTAAATTCTTTATTCTTTCTTTTTGGTGAAAGTAAATAACTTGCAAAGTGTATACAGCAAATAGTAATGTATCCAGTTGCTTCAGTACTCTCCAGGAGAGTATACTATATATGCATAGGAAAGAAGAAAAATCCACAAGAGAAAAAATAAATAGTTCCAGAGAAGTCTTCAGCTAGAATATATTAGTTGCCTTTGACTACAATATATAGGCCCCTTTCTCTCTTTTGGATGTTGAAGAGAGTTCCCGTTACTGGTACTGCAATCTGGGCCTATAATCTGTAATCAGATTAAAGACAAATCTCAGTCAGCAAATCCGAGACCACAGGGCTTCTCCCTTATGTTGAATATATTCTCCTGCAGGCGGAACTGATTAAAAAGTACACACACATGCGCATGCGTGCACACATGCACATGCGCACACAGAGGTTATGACATGGAAGCAACACTGTAGGATCACATGCAGAAAAGGCCATTCTAACTGGATACCTAATATTTGCAAATATCAAAAGACAAGGTTATCACTAAATCCAAAGTGTAAATGACAGTGACACATCCCCACTGGGCATTTACAATGCAATTCATATTTCCAAATGCTAGGTGTTTTAATTTTAAAAGGATGACCCTTTTCAGGGTTAGTTTAGCTATTACTAGCACATGACTTCAGCTCATGCTGAAATAAACCAAGGTACATTTATTAGTCAAGATAATACAGATTAATTATCCCTACTTCCTAGTTTTTAACTATGCTGCCAGGGTCTTGTACACCAGCTACAAACCTGAGTTTGCCATTCAGGATACAATTGCCAAAGGGGCACAGCCAATGTTGGTCCCTTGGCAGTTAAACCTGCATGATACATGTTTCTGGAATCTTTACAACAAGCCCATATGGCAGGTTATTATTTCAATGACCCAAATGGGACTTGCAACAAAATGTTGCAGTGTATTCCCATCTCAAATAGAAGTACATTTCCAGACAACCAACCATGATACTAAGCCGTTAGGAACTCAGTGAAGCCAATTCATTATACTTGCTCCATCTCAGATTTCCATTTTTCTGTTCCAACCAACATTCGGCATTCAATGGCTCCTGAAAGTCATTAAGCATCCCTCTCCACATTATGATATTTAGGGATGCCCCATCTGTCAGTGCAGGACCATTGAGTACGCCGTTCAAGGAAATGGTATTACTGATAGTGCAAATGATGGCTTAGTTAAAGCCACCTATTTCAAGAATAGGCAGAAGGAAAGGTACTAAAATAAAATGGCCAATATCATGCAAAACAATGGTGCTACCATACTAAGAATACTGCGTACAGTTCTGGTCACTGCATGTAAGCAGGTATATTAAAAGGGAAGGAAAGGGCAAGCAAGGAAGGAGCTGGAGCAATTGCCCCATGAGGAAAGATTATAACATCTGGGATTGTCTGGCTTTAAAAAAGGCATGTAAGGAGAGACATGATTGAGGTAAACAAAATTATGTGTGGTGTGAAGGAAGTGTATAGGGAGACATTTTTCTCCATCGCTGAAACAGGTTATTCCATGAAAGTGATTGTTGGGACTTTCAAGATAGATACATGAAAGAACTTCTTCACATAGTGTATAAATTATGGAATTCACTACCAAAGATGTTGTGATGGCCACCAAGTTGGATGGTTTTAAAAGGGGATTAGACAAATTCATGGAGAAGAAGGCTATCAGTGACTACTAATCCTGGTGGTTATTGCCTACTTTCAGTAACAGAGGCAGTGTGCACACCAATTGCTGAGGATCACGGACATATACGCATCATATGGTAGACAATGATGCACTATCTTGTGTGTGTTTTGACAGAAAAATTCCTAGAATCCCTAGAATTTTCCAGCAAGCTTTATAGGATTTTTTTCCTGCCGGGATTGCAGCCCTATTTAAGGTTATTTCCTCCCACCCCAAGCTTCTTAAAATATTTTTTATTCATCTCTTACCATTTCTTCTCCCTTTCAGGGGATTCCCAACAGCCCTTTTCCTATCATTTGTAAAGCACTGTTTTTCTACCGTCACTGAAAGTGGACTTAAAATAGAGATTCTACACAGCACTTTGCAAGCACTGTATTTTACAGCAGAGTCAGGCAGGGGCATCAAAATTTTCAGCCCAAGGGAGAAATACAATTTCTGAGAATCTCTCAAGAAATATATTCTTATATGCAGGGGGTTGGATTCAATGGCCTTACAGGCCCCTTCCAACTCTACTGTTCTATGATTCTAGTACTGGGTGGGGCTGAAATCAAAAGAGGTAAGGCAAAGACACCCCCAGAATTTAATATAAGAGGGTTAATGCCAACAATTGAGACTTAAAGAGAGGTACAGGGCTGACAAAAGGTGTACCTTAGGTGTACCTGAGGAGCAAAACACCTTAGAAATGCAAATGCCTCTGTCCTGAAAGGCCTGCCCCTTGCGGCATACCTTAGACATGCTAACTGTTCAACCTGCAAAGACTCCAGGCTGTCACCAAGATAAAGGAGATTGTGCTACAAGACCTCCTTTTTGCCCTGAATGCTGGATTAGAGCAGGAAATGCAAGCCAGCATGCACAAAAACTTCCTGCCTCCTCATCAACACAAAGAAAACCAAAGTGATGCATCAGCCAGCCCCAAAAGCCCAACACCAAGAGCCCACCATCACAGTGAAGGGACAAAAGCTGCAATCAGTGGACCAGTTTACATACCTTGGCAGCACCTTTTCCCACCCAGTGACAAGTGACATGGAGGTCAACTGCAGAATCGCCAAGGCAAGCTCTGCATTCTGCAGACCAAAGGGTGGGACTGCTATGGAATAAGTCCTGCTACAAAGCTTAAAGTCTACCGAGCAGTAGCGCTAACTACCCTGATGTATGCCTGGGAGACTTGGACTGTATACAGGAGGGACACTAGGCAACTGAACCACTTCCACACAACTTGCCTCCGCAGGAACTAGAGTGGTGGAGAGTCAATGACTTGCCCAAAGAGTGAGGGGGAATACAACCAGATCACTCTAGTTCTGGTCCAGTACTCTCTTAGGTATAGGACTGCCTTGGCTTTGTTCACATATTGGCCAACCAGCTGCCTGTGAGAATTTCATAAAACATGAATACAACAACACTTCGGTCTTGCATTCCCAGCAATTGGTGTACATAGGCATACTGCCTCTAATACTGAAGGTAATATATAGCCATCGTAACTACATGCAGTGATGGCCACCAATTTGGCTGGCTTTAAAAGGGGATCGACAAAGTCCATAATTTATGTGCTGTGTGAAGAAGCATTTCCTTTTATTTAATCCTGAATCACTGAGTGGAATCATATAAATTGATGAACAGCAACAGCAGTGTTGGACTGAACCCTTCTAAGTCTACTGTTCTATGATTTTTACTGTTCAGCTTTAGAGAATTGCCCCGTTGGGTTTAGTATAGGAAAAAGTAAGAAAAATATCTCCCTGTCAAGTTTGGGGCGGCAGGCATACAAGATTGCAACCTCAATGTCTAAGCAGGGCTACTAAAGGCTAAGAACAGCAGATGCATGGGGAAGGTGACTTTTCCCACTAGACAGAGGTTCAGTGCAAAGATGAAGATAACCAGTGGGCGATAATGAAGTGCTGACCAAATGGTATTTTTTATCTAAACAGATGACTCTATTTTTATGCTTTTCCCAAACATAAGCCTGTTCCAGTGTCAACAAAACTCCCGTTCTGCACTCTGAACAACAACAATAAAGCATCTTAAATATTATTAGTTTTTAAAATTACATTTCCAAATCTGTCATTTCTAGTTCACACAGCAATGGAGCTATTTGCAGCCACACTTCAGTAGCAAACCAGTGCTCTCTGAACTCCATGAACTCTATGGAATCCTATGAAATGTAAAGCCTGTAAAGTGAGGATCATGGGGGTGGGGATTATGGACTTTCTGAAGTTGCCCATTCCACTCTTCTTGAAAAGTTTGATAGAGGAGAGTTCTTTGTTAGAAAGCATTCCCTAATTGAAACACAGAAACAGCGCGAGTCAGAAGGGGCCTCCCGGGCCATCTAGTCTGGCCCCGGCTCCAGCCGGCTCCGCTCACGACATGCCCACCATGTGCATGTCCAGCCTATCTTTGAACACCCACACCGATGGGGCCTCAACCACCTCCCGTGGAAGCCCATTCCATACCCTCAGGGTCCCAACTGTCAGGAAGTACTTCCTGGCATCTAACTGAGAATCTGTCTACCCTGTTATGTACCATAAACTGATCTCCAACTTGGGGTGACCCTATGAATGAGAGTCCTGCAAAATATCTTGTGCTTGTCAGCCTGTTCAGTTTGTGTCAACTCAAGTTTGTGGCTTTCTTTATGGAATTAATCCATCTCATATTTCCTCTTCCTCTGCCTTTGACTTTCCCTAGCATGATTGCCTTCCCATGATGTGAGCAAATACAGCAGGTTCCATCTTGTCGCTTTTTGTTTCCCGGGAAATGTCTGGCTTGATTTTATCCAGGACACACTTTTTGGTCTGTCCAGGGTATTTGCAAAGCTCTGCCCCTATTGTTTTCTAGTTCCTTCTTGCTACCATTCCAAAGCCTCATTCTTCAGATTTCTTGGCTGCAGTGTCTGTTTAAATTGATGACTGAGCCAAGGTATGCAAATGTTTTACAATTTCCATGTCTTCACAGTTGACATGAAAATTGTGTAATTCTTCTGTGGTCATGATTTTAATTTTCTTAATGTTTAACTGCAGACCTGCTTTTATACTTTCTTCTTTCATTTTCATCAGGAGTAATTTCAGTTCACTGCAGCTTTCCACCAGTAATATATCAACTGCATATCTTAAATTACTGATTGTCTTTCACCAATTTTTACTCTTTTCACTGATTTGATGTACAAAGTGTACAAATGGGGAGATAAAATATACTCTTGTCTGATGCCTTTGCTCATACGAAATCATTCTGTTTCTCCATATTTTGTCCCAAAAGTAGCTTCTTATTCACAATACAGGTTATTTATTTATTTATTTATTTAGAAAATTTCTATGCCGCCCCATTCGCCGAAGCCTCGGGGCAGCTTACAAATAAATCAATTAAAATACTATAAATTAACAATATAAAACAAGTTAACAGTATAAAACAGGTTACACAGGATGATTAACATTTCTTTCACAACCATCCATAGCTTCTCATGATCCACAGAGTCAAAGGATTTGTGGTCTGTAAAGCATAGGGTGATCTTCTCCTGACATTATTTGGTGCGCTCCAGTAGGAAACATGTATTTACAATATGATCTTAAGTGCCTCTTTCTTTTCAGAACTGAGCTTGAATATCAGGCATCTCTCACTTCAAATAGGGAGCTACTGACAGAAAGCAGCAATGAATTGAAATCACTTTCCTTGAAGGAACTACAAAAGCAGAACTATAGCTGGATATTCAGAAAACAAAAATTGTGAATACAGAAGAATTACAGAATTTTACTGTCAACAAGTGAAGAAATTGAAATTGTGAAATTTTTCAGATACCTTAGCTCCATTATCAATTCAAAGGGAGACTGCAGCCAAGAAATTCAAAGAAGACTACGACTTGGAAGGAAGGAAGGAATTAGAAAATATAATCCAGTGTAAGCATTTTTTAATAGACTAAGGTCAAGACCTCCCACAATTTTGTATTCCTGGTCACTATGCATGGGTGTGAATGCTGGACAGTAAAGAAAGCTGGGAGGAAGAAAATTTATGTGTTTGAAATGTTGATTTTTTTTTCTATACCATCTATATTTCCACAGAACATCTCCATAAGGTTTACAACAATAAAAGCATCAGAACAATTAACAGTACTCAATTAAAATAAAATTAAATCAGATACACATTAAAATTAACGATTAAAAAACTGGGTCAATAAAAAGGTCTTGGTCAGATGCTGGAAAGAATGAAGAGTCAGTGCCAGATAAATCTCTCTGGGGAGTATATTCTACAAACAAGGAGCCGCCACTAAGAAGGCCCTTCTGCTTGTACTGGTCCTCCTCACCTCATTCATGGAGGGCTCTTAGAGAAGGACCTCCATAGAAGATCTTACGAACTGACCAGCTGTATACGGAAGGAGGTATTCCTTTAGACAACCAAACCCTAAACTGTTTAGGTCTTTTGTTATTGTCAACATCTTAAATTTGGCCTGGACTTCAATTAGTAGCCAACACAGATGATACAAGTCCAGCGTTATATGGTCACATCTGCCAGTCCCTGTCAATAGCCTGGCTTCTCTATTTTATACCAATTGAAATATCCAGACTGTCTTCAAGAAACATAGAAACAGAGCGAGTCAGAAGGGGTCTCCCGGGCCATCTAGTCTGACCTCCAGCACCAGCCGGCTCCGCTCACGACATGCCCACCATGTGCACGTCCAGCCTATCCTTGAACACCCGCACAGATGGAGCCTCGACCTCTCGTGGAAGCCCATTCCACACCCTCGGGGTCCTGACTGTCAGGAAGTGCTTCCTGGCATCCAAATGGAACCTTGGCTCCCTGAGCTTTGCTCCGTTGCAGCACATCCTGCCTTCCTCTGCAGGGGAGAACAGGCCTCCACCCATCTCCATGTGACATCCCCTCACATACCTGTATGTCGCCAACATATCCCCTCTGAGTCTCCTCTACTCCAGGCTGAAGAGACCCAGTTGCCTCAGTCTCGCCTCATACCCCATCCCCTGCAAACTGGCCACCAACCTTGTGGCCCTACGCTGCACTGACTCTAACCTGGCTATATCCTTTCTGTAATGTGGGGCACAAAACTGAGCACAATACTCCAGTTGCGGGCGCACCAGAGTTGTATAGAGTGGCAGTAACACCTCTCTCGATATAGAAGCCACACTTCAGGCTATGCAACCAAGGGTGGCATTCGCCCTCTTGACCACCGCATACAGCACATTACAATAGTCCAAACAGGAAGTTACTGCTGAAGGAAAACATGATGCTGAAGGCATATCCTTGACTGATAGAGAGATAAACAAGGGAGTTCTTGATAAAATCAATCTATACCTTCCCCTGGAAGTTTCATCTTCTGGCACGATTTCTTGTTTTATTTTGGATTGTTTCATCATAGAGTGTTCAAAGTAAGAAGATTCAGGAGTGGTTTGCCATTGCCTTCTTCTGTTCAGTACTAACCAGAGGTAGCTTGAGTGTCACTGCACTTGTCTGCAAAAGATCATCCACCAGTGTTGCTTTCAACTACATCCACAGAACGTGCTCCAACGGAGCGAAGCTCAGGGAAGCAAGGTTCCATGTAGATGCCAGGAAGAACTTCCTGACAGTCAGGACCCCGAGGGTGAGGAATGGGCTTCCATGAGAGGTCGTTGAGGCCCCATCGGTGCGGGTGTTCAAGGATAGGCTGGACGTCCACATGGTGGGCATGTCGTGTGCGGAGCCGGCTGGAGCCGGGGGTCAGACTAGATGGCCCGAGAGGCCCCTTCTGACGCGCTATGTTTCTGTTCAGCAGCAGCCCTTCAGGAATTTCTCTGCCCCCATTGTTAGGAATGAAAGAGGTAGTTATTCTTGGCACTCCTTCCAAGGTTAGGCAATTCAGACTCGTCAGATGAGGAGCGGCCCTGAAAACCAGAATCCTCACATGCTGCAGGGGGCTTATCTTAAAGGCATCCTCCTCCGGTGTTCATGTGAACACTGAGAATAGACATGATTTATGACTGCAGGGAGGGGCATGGGAGAAGAACTCCTGCAGCCAGCCAAGCCTGGTACAACTCTTAAATTTTGTTAAAAAATAATTTTCAAACTAAAATACAACCAAAATAAAACTACATTTAAAATATAAACATGAAATTAATCATACAATGGAAAGAATTCTTAACAGTACTGTGCCCCCTATCACCAGGACCAAGGATAAATGTTACAGGTAAAGGGAACACATTCAAACATTCTTTCTATATTTATTTCTTTATTTCTTTAAAGTTTTTATATGCCGTCCCCATTGCTACATAGCCTCGGGATGGCTCACAGGACATTGCCCCCTTCCAAAACTGCAAATGATTCTTTTGATGGCTCAAATCCTTTCCCTTTTGTAAAGACATGCTCAATAAATACACCCCAAATATCCTTAAACTTATTTTTCTTTAAGTGCCCTTTTCTCGTTTTAATACCACATGTAAATTTATTAATAATAGCTGTATTCCAAACTTCTTTATACCAATCACACAATTGGTAATTGTAATTTACTCTCCAATCCTAAACTATAATTAATCTCACTGCAGTTATTAAATTTGCTGTTGATCTTTATTATTCTAGCTCCATTGTTTCTTATCAAATATTGAAATAATGCAATCTTGGGGCATATCTCTATATGTAGACTTAATATTTTACTATATTCTTTAAAAACTTTCCAAAATTTCATTATATATTTGCATTCCCACCACATATGGAAATATGTACCCACTTCTCCAACATAAATTGGAATTTTATCTATACAGTTCAACTTCACCAGAGCACTTAAGTAGCACTTCCATTCAATTTTATAAACATTTTCCTTTATTCTTACAGACATATACATTTTAATATCCTCTTCATCCAAATATTTTCCCAATCTCCATTACTGATGTTCTCTCTCATATCTATTTCCTATGTTGCTTTAAGTGAATCGTATCGATTTTGTTCTTCTGACAATATCTTCTAAATGTTACCTACTACCACTTTCATTCGCATATCTCGTTTTTCCTTTTCTATAATCATATCTTCAGACTGTGTATAATCCCTGCATCTACCTCTTTTCTTTATCCATTCTCTTGTCCAACATTCTAATTGAATCACATTAGACCAAGTTATTTTCTCCTTTCCTAATATTCCCTTTATCTCTCCATTTTTGGCTCATTCTTTGTTGGTTGTGCTTACTGGAAGTGCACTGGAGAATAAAAAGTGTTTGCCTTCTTGGCCCCTTCCAGCTCTCCTATTCTCTGATTCTATGAATCTCTGCTTTGAGCATTCTGTCTTGGGTGACTGTGTGTGTACGACTGTCTTACCCAGTAAGACAGGTGGCAAGGCTCTCGGTTTCTCTGGCTCTCTCAAACCTCTCATCACATTAAGTTTTGGGTCCAAAAGGGGGTATCTTACCTAGGTCTGGCTTAAATTCAAGGAAACCTAAGAAAGGAGGGCTGTTACGCCAGGTCTCTTGTAGAGTAATACACCTCAAAGGAGGTGCTTGCTCTCCAGATTGCCACAAAAGCTCTGGGATTTTTTAAGCAGGCTGAGAGAGCAAGTCTAACCCTGGTTTTGCATTCACACAAACACACTCAACACAGAAGAAAATCTATTTGTCAGAAAAATATAGAGCAGCACAAGCCTTTAATCTGATGTTGTCTAGGCAGCAAATATTCCTGTTGCATCCCAAACTTACTCCATATTTCTAAAGCGATGAAGAACTTCCAGCCTAACAGAGTGACTAACCGAAGGGGTGTCCATTACCTTGAAGAAACTACCTTGCAGGGTAGTTTCTTGAAAGCAGTCTTATGTCTGGGCAGGAAGGCTGGGGGGGGGGGCGTGGGGGCTGTGTTCAGAGCATGTCTTTGCTTGAGTTCAGAGCTAGTGTGTATCTTTTTTCTAAGTCCCTGATCTACTATTTCTCTAAACATGTGTCTATGGGAAAGATGAGTTGCCCAGACTTATGCTAATTGTTGGAAGGGTGTTTGATTGCTTCCTGATCATAGAATCATAAAATAGTTGGGTTCCAAGGAGCCAGAAGGTCACTGGCTCTAAGCCCCTGCTCAGTCTATGACCTGAACTATTGTTTCTCTGGAAACAATAGTTCAGGGTGGTATTGATAAAGTAATTTCTAGGTGTCTCAGGACAATGGGGCATCCTCTTTATGGGGTTGTTTTGCCTAATCCAGGGGTCGGCAACCCACAGCTCCAGAGCTGCACATGGCTCTTGAATCCCTCTGCTCTGGCTCTGTCGCTCAAAATACACGTCACAGCCGCCGATCGGCGACATGTGCCGGCACGATTTACTGAGCTTTTTCCCCTGGTAGGCCAACCATGGATAAATCGAAGAAAAGAAAAATTTCTGAAGAAAACAGAACATTTAATGGTACGTGGGCAGATTCATTTGCTTTTACTGATGATGAGACTGGTTTACCGGTATTCTTAATACGTGGTGAGAAATTGGCAAACAACAAAAAGTCGAATGTTGCAAGACATTTCCAGAATAAACACGCAGCCTTTGCTGAAAAATATCCGGATGGAGATGAGAGAAAAAAAGCCATTTCGGAACTGATGCGGAAGCTTGATCTGAGCAAAAATCATAATTTAAGTTCGGCTTTTTATTTCATAAGTACAAGGAGGACTCAGATAGACATTGAGTATTTTATTTGAAAGTAACCTTCAACCCAGCTTCTTTTTTTGGAGTTCAAAATGTTTTTGTTGCATGCTGAAATAAAAAATTGGTTTTCTCTGTAGCAGTTCACTGATTTCATAAATGCAACACACTACAGTTTCTTTATACATAGCATCAAGGTAAAAAATGAAATACGCAGTGTTATCTTCATTTTAGATGTCAAAAGGATTTTGTGGCTCCCGGTGTTCTCTTTTCTGTGGGAAACGGATCCAAATGGCTCTTTGAGTGTTTAAGGTTGCCGACCCCTGGCCTAGTCTTTTCCCAGGGAAATGTCTGACCGTAAGAATTCCAGCATTCATTCTTATCTCACACTGGTTAGCCCAGGATACTAGGTCCTTTTTCCTGAATTCAGGCTTACCCATTAGGGCCCATGACCTAAAATCCCATTCCGGCCTGGGAGTTTATGGTTATGGCACTAATATTGATGGATACATGCGTTTCAGAATGGCAGAGGCCTTGGAGTTTCCTCTCAACACTAAGAACCAGGGAAGCAGCTTAGGGTCCTTAAGACCCTCGTCAGCCTTCCCCTAGAGAGTGAGATGTACTGCACTGAAATCTATTTAAATTGTACCTATTCAGATCGTTGTTCTAGTTTGTAATCTTGTATCTATACTTATACATGAGAACATGGAAACTGTATGCACACCTGCCCTGTAACCAGCCCATCTAAGCTGTTCTTTGCCACTTACCTGCTCAGGTGGGTGAATAGCAAATGTGAGGAGGTAAGCAGGTCTTCTCCCTCTCTCAGAGAAGAGGTGGCTTTCCTCTCTCGTCCCTTTTTTGACTCCTTTGGAGCCAACAGCAGTGACACCATGCAAGAGGCAGGGGATGAACAGATGCAATCATTCAGACTCCCCCAACCTGGCACCCTCTAGATGTGCTGGGATGCTGGGGAAGTGCAGTCCAGCACATCTGGACGGCTCCAGGTTGGGGGAATTTGTCAATATTTGATCATGTTTGCCTTCCAGCTGTGCTTCTCCTAGTCCATGCATCACTCGCCTTTTCTATATTTGACCCAGCCGTAAGATGCCCATTCCTTTTTATGTAAAAATGATCTAAAGATGCACTGCTATATGAGAGAGCGGAGAAGGGGAAAGAATGCCAACAATGCTTTGTGCTCTGCTTCAGGACAGCCAGTAGAGGGTGCTCAAAATAACCAACATTTCAGCAAGTCCCCAAAGGTAAACCCTACCCAAAAGGCTTCTCCAACCTGGGGCCCTCCAAAGGGTTTGGAGTACAACTCCCAGCATTCCTAACCTCTGACTATGCTGGCAGGTACAGATGAGAGTCGGAGGGCTACACAGCCATTAGCCAAAGCTGGTTCCATGTTCCCTTTAAGCCCTGGGAAATCTGTCATTTGCAGGCCTCTGCTAGCAATTTCCCTGAGGAAAAAAAGACAAAGGTAGAAATGCAGAAGTCAGTGTGGTAAAATGGTAATAGCAGACTTCCCCAACTTAGAACCCACCAGAGGTTGACCGCAAATCCTACTATTCCCAGCCAGGAGTGCGGCCATGTCCCCTATCTATAAAGAATAATCCTCTTTTTAAAGGACTATCCAGCTGAAGGTGCCCCCTGTTTGAAAGGCTGTGTGCTGCCAGTCCACCTTACAGATGGGGAATCATATGACACTCAGAAACCTTGTGCTGTCCTTGAAGTTGCCATCAAAAGAAAGCATCTGGACAGCAGACTGGGAAGGCACACAGATCACACAGATGTCACCTTTCCCCAATATTTGGGCAAGTGCGTATAGTCAAGGCTATGGTTTTCCCAGTTGCAATGTATGGCTGTGAAAGCCGGACCATAAGGAAGGCTGAGCGCCAAAGGACTGAGGCCTTTGAATTGTGGTGCTGGCGGAGACTCCTGGATAAAAATATCATAATAAATAAATATAGAATAAATCCAATCAATGCTTAATCATCTCACAATTCCATTTTTGTAAGATTACCGATTTTTTTAAAACAGCACTCTAATTTTTCATAATTTAATGTGCTAGTGTTGTGCTTGCTAGCACAATGGGATTTTAAATCTGCCTGGAACAGCAAACAAAACAAAACTCAGAGCGAACACATATGCACACCTGGGCTAACCTGAATCAAGCAAGACCTAGTAATCGGGTTGGTTCACACAATACAGCAAGCCGTGGTGGTTTCTTGCACGGGGAGGCTTTTTGGGTCATCCGTATCGTGTCACAGTATTTCAAGCTCAGCGCATTTGATTTTAGAAACCACGATAAGAAACAGCAGTCTATGGCTGCCATGCTTCTCTGGTTGTCTCATTCCAGCATCATGGCTTCCACAGTCCTTCCAGGGTCCCATGAAAAGAGCAGAAGTTCAGGGGCGATGGCTGATGGGATACATGCCAACAGCAGGAAGATTGCGAGAGGGGAGTCGAAACCACGCTGGCACAGAAAGCACTCAATTGTCTGGTAGGCACATCCAGGCCAAAAGAATATGTACCATGGAAACCAGGCCGGGTTGCTTGTCACGTGAACCCAGCCATGGCGTGGTTTCCTCGTCAAGAGTCCAGTGTGGTGTGGTGGTTAAGAGCATGGGACTGGGACTCAGGCGATCTGGGTTCTAGTCCCCGCTCAGCCATGGAGCCAACTGGGTGACTTTGGGCCAGTCACAGACTCTCAGCCCAACCTACCTCACAGGGTGGTTGTTGTGGGGATTAGATGGAGGAGGAGAATGATGTAAGCTGCCTTGAGCCCTTAGTAGGAAAAAGGCAGGATATAAATCGAAAAATAAATAAAAAAAATAAAAAAAATAAAAACTAAAATCCAAAGAATCGTGAGTAGAGGCAGAGGGTTTTTCCTGTACCTGCAACAACAGTTCGAGAGGACCCTTTGAGCAGAGTGACCAACAGTATCCAGGTGTGATTTTTGTGCAAAACAAAGCTCACTTCTGCATTACAAAATGACCTTCAAACATTCTAGTAAGGACAGGTGTGCTGTGTAGCAGATTAAAGGATATTTCCTTTGCAGGGCAAAGCTTCTCTGGAGGTGGGTTGTTTTTCTGCATTGTGGACTGATGGTGTTGAAAGTGCTCTGACACAATGAAGTACCCTATATACCAGTGTATAAGATAATCCTTGAAACTGGAAATGGAGAGGCAAAAATTGGTGGGTTGTCTTACATGCAGGTGAAAAATTTTCATCGTATGATTTTCAATGTTAAAAAAAAAAAAAGGCTAGACCCCCGTACCCGTCTATGGCACTGGCACCAGCCAGCCTCCCTAATCAACCAGCTCCTTTGCAGGCAGCTGTGGGCCTCCAAGTTGGAGGGGGAACATGAATATTAGCTAGAATGTGGTAACATGAGATCACAAGAATCTAGCCGCTTCTGGCTGACAAAAACCCATATATACCAGTATATAAGAGGCCCTCGAAACTGAAAATAGGGAAGCAAAAATTGGAGGCCGTCTCATATGTCTCAGGCCAAGACCTTTTTATTTAAACGATATTTTAATAATTGTTGATTTTATTTATTGGTTTTAATATTGAGCCAGGACGTATCCAGATTTTATATGTTTGTATTTTCATGTGTTGGCAGAGGATGAGGTGGCTGGATGGAGTCACTGAAGCAGCTGGTGTGAGCTTGAGTGGACTCCGGGGGATGGTGGAGGACAGGAGGGCCTGGAGGAATGTTGTCCGTGGGGTCGCGATGGGTCAGACACGACTTCGCGACTAGCAACACCAACAATTTTCATGTGTATTTATTTATAATGTTGGAAGCCGTCCCGAGGCTTATGCAAATAGGACATACAAAAATTCCAAATAAATGAATAATAAATAAATATACCTAACATATGATAAACACCAGAAAAACAACCCAAAATATAGACTTTGTCCGATACATGAGTCATCTTACACAAAATAGGACATTTTAGGCTCTGTGCTTAATAGTGCTAGCTGGAACTGGGGAGTTCTTCATATGGTAATATGGTTTCACTCATTGCCGTAGGTGATCGGCCAGGAGGTATGTACCCCCGCTTCTAGCAGAAGGTAGGGCTGCTTGATCCACTCGGGGATGCTGCCGTGCTCTTGAGTAATACCACCAAATGGCATACAGGCTCCTACCGCCTGCCTGAGAGCCTGAGAGGAGAACTCGCAGGCAGGAGGTGGGGGACCGATTGCTCAGGCTGTCCCTGCTCGGCTGACTTGTAACCCCCAGCTCTGTCCTGGGAATAAGCCTCTCAGGCAGAAGCTGGGCGGAGGGGGGGGGATCAGTTTGGCGGCACTGCCCCATTCTCGGGAGAGTCCAGCTGTGCCAATCACTGGTTCCCATCTCCCGCCCCAGAGAAGTTCCCAGGAGGGAGCAGCTGTCAGCCATGCCCTCTGGCCAGCTCGCTTGTTCTGGGCCTTGAGCCCCATGGCAGCTGTCAAGAACAAGCAGTCATTCCAGAGCAAAACCCTAGAACAGGCCTTTGTGTCCTATCATGGGTGACCATCACGGTAAGTCAAAATGGTCGGTCACCAGGGCCGCATTTGGACAACAGGACAAACAATGATAATTTGTGATTACTTGGCATGTCATGTGAGCCTAGTCAGTGCCCTGGGATGCAAGATGCAACAGTCCCCTTACTGGGGACAGCCATGGTGGTTGTCAACACCATTTCTGCAGGATGGCTTCACTAATAACCAACCTGAAGAACCCATCTTGTTTCAGGGCTGCTGACAGCTTGTCGTGTCATCTAAACACTGCAGGGCAATTTCATCATGGGAACGGCCAGAGGGCCACCTGACCAAAGCCACCAAAACGTCCACTCCTCCTCCTCCTCATCTTGCCCATTCCGTGCCATCCTCCCTCTTTCCTTCTCAGCTGACTTTACATTTCTGCTTTTCCCCTTCCAAGTTACTGCTTTGCTATGACATTTGTGCTTGTTTCCTGCTTCTGTTTACCACCCTGTAACCCTATCAGGAGGGAAGAGGCTGGGGAGATAAGGTGCTTTGACACTGGGTTTGCTTAGGCTTAACTGGAAACAGCCTTTTCTTTTACTAACCAAAAAAGGTGTTCACTAACAGTGTACCTGCTGTTGTGGAAGAGGGGAACACCGGGGTGCTTGTCTAGACACTGCAGAGGTAGACTGTGTCACAGTGAAAGTTCCCAAAAGAAAAGGCCAGGAAATGGGTTTCTACAACCTTAAAGGCTAAGAAAATTGACTCCATTGACAAGCTGATGCTGGAGGCGGGAGTGTTGTTGTTGTTGTTGTTGTTGTTGTTGTTGTTGTTATTATAACATTTCTATGCTGCCCCTTGCCGAAGCCTCGGGGTGGCTTACAACACAATACAATACAATTCAATATAAAAATAACAATATAAAATTAAAATTAATAATATAAAATAAATAAAAAATATAAACAATATAAAAGAAGTTATAAAAGAAAAGAAGTCGCCTTGGCCAGATAAATAAGTAAATATTGTTAACAATTAAAATGACGTTTAAATAAAAAGGTCTTCACCTGGCGCCGAAAAACAAATAACAAAGTTTTGCCCTTGGCAGCCACAGATCTCAGCAGACCAACAGACATTTGGGTTACATGCTGGAGCCAACAGGAAGAAACAGAAGGGAGCCCAAACTTCTGTTGGGAGTACCATGGACTGACCAGAGAACAACCAACCCAGTGGCTAACTTGGAGGCTGCTTTGTATGACATGCAAACCCGCCCTTTGAGGCAGTTATCTAGTATCAAAGATGGGTATGCATAACGTTTTAAAGAAATTGCTCCTAAAACTGCAGATAAAACAATGTTGTTGTTGTTGTTAGTCGGAAGTCGTGTCCGACCCATCGCGACCCCATGGACAACATTCCTCCAGGCCCTCCTGTCCTCCACCATCTCCCGGAGTCCACCTAAGCTCACGCCGACTGCTTCAGTGACTCCATCCAGCCACCTCATCCTCTGCCGCCCCCTTCTTCTTTTGCCCTCAATTGTTCCCAGCATTAGGCTCTTCTCCAGGGAGTCCTTCCTTCTCATTAGGTGGCCAAAGCATTTGAGTTCCATCTTCAGTATCTGGCCTTCTAAAGAGCAGTCAGGGTTGATCTCCTCTAGGACTGAGTGGTTTGATCACCTTGCGGTCCAAGGGACTCGCAGGAGTCTCCTCCAGCACCACAATTCAAAGGCCTCAGA